CATCTACACATGTTGTATTAGGTATCATGAGTAATGTAGAGAGGATTTAAAGTATATTCTACAAGTCCACTAAGCATCTGCTATGTACTTGGCAATCTGTCTCAGAGGATTTCAAACTGAGCGAGTCCCAGCCCTACCCACAGGTTCTATGTAATCACTGTGTCATTTTATAGGAGGAACTTGAAGTTATAAAGATTTTGCTACCCTAGAGCATCCTGGGAGCAAACTTGCTACGGACCCTGAGGGAGCTGTCATGCTGGTTAATCTTGATTTTAAACTTGACCATTTGAGAATGCGTAGACTAGTTGAGGATGCTCCTTGGTGTGTCTTTGTGGGTTGTGGTGGTGTGACCTTAGGGACTCCATTGTCTCTGGCCCCTTCTTTTCTGACTTGTCCTCTGCTCTGCGATTCCTGCATGGCACACGGTGAACAGTGTGTTCTGCTGTGTCCCCTTATCGTGACATTTTTGCCTTGGATCCAGCCAACCAGGAACTGAAAGCCCCGACATGGTGGGACACACGTGCCTTTCTCCTTTCAGTCGCGTGCGCCCAGTGTTTTGTCCCAGCAATGGGAAGGTGACTAACACAACTCTCTACAGTATTACATTGGACGCTGACTTTTTCATATTAAAAATGAGAATGTTAAGGAATGTCTTAGCAGTTTGGGGTGCTATAACAAATTCCCAGGTGGGCTGGTATAATGCATTTATTTATCACAGTTCTGGAAGCTGGGAAGTCTAAGCTCAAGGTGCCAGCTGCTTTGGGTCCTGGTTGCAGACAGGGCAGGGAGAGAAGAGCCCTCTGTGTCTCTTTGGAAAAGGGCTCATCCCAGCAGGGCTCTGCTCTCCTGATTTAATGTAAGCTCGGGGGCCTCATCACCTGATGCCATCATGCTGGAGCTGGGGCTTCACTCCAGGAAGGGCAGGGCACAACTAAGTCCATGCCAGGAGCAATGGGGAAAAGGTTTGAAAGGCTGCTGGATATTTGACTTTCTCTAAATTATGCTCATCTCTCAAGTGGAGAGACTTTATTTATCTGTATACTTAGAAACTGAGACTGTCAGTTTGCGCATGAATTGGCTTTATTAGAGAAAATAGTAAACCAAAGGAATAGTTGTTGTCTTGCAAAATTAACAAGACACTTCTGAGTCCTGGACATTCATGCCGTGGGCACGTTGTTGCACAAAGCAAGCATCTGCAGGACCTTTTGCTTCTGAGCCTGGCTCGTGATGAAATGCATAGTCATGCATCTGGCCAGCTCCAGGAACGAGAGTGGTTAGGGCTTCGGAACATTCCAAAGCTGAGGCACTATGCTGTCAGAGGAAGTATGTGGAAGTTGGCATCCTCAGACTCCCCGGGGCTGTGGAAATTGGTGTAGTCCTCATGAAAGCAACCTGGCAGCGAGTATAAAGAGCCAAGCACACAAAACCTCTGACGCAGTCCGGTGTCTGGGAATTCATCCCAAGCAAACAACCTAGAAGAAGGAGAAAGTTACTCATTAAGGTATCACCGGAGCATTGCTTTCTAATGATGAAAAATTGAGCCGTACAGATTGGAGGCTGCTCAGTGCTTTCTGTAGAGACCTAGATGATAAATATTTTAGGCTTTGTGAGCATGCAGTGTCTGCCTGTCATTTAGCTTTGTGTTGTGTAAGATGCCTTAGATAGTATGTAGATGAATGTGCTTGACTATTAGAAGGGCGAAAGGAAAGGAGTTTTCCCCTGAGCTTCATTGGAAAGAACCGAAAATAGACAGCTTACATGGGAGAAAAAGCATACAAATTTAGTAGTGGGAAATTCACAGCAGTATGAGTACCCGCCAGCCCAATGTGACCCAGAAACTCTATACCCTTTATCCAATGGAGATTAGAGAAAGACAAGAGAGCGGGAGATGATTTTTAGGGCAATTAACGAGGTTGGAGGACACATGGCACCCTGAAGCAAAGTCAGCCAGGCCTGCAAAGCACATAATAGGTGGTAAATTCTCTGGAGGATGGAAACAAAGGACCACCATGTGTGACAAAGGTTTGTCCAGGTGTGCTGACAGAATTCAATGTTTCTTCCTGCACTTTCCCCAGTATTTGAGTTTTATTAATGAGAACTCAAGGAAGAGGTCAGAGATAATTTTGTGGTAGGTCCAGACATAGATAGGTAAAGGAACTTGGCAGAAGGACTGAGTTTGTAGAGTGGAGGAAACAGGCAAGGTTAAGGGATTGGTTCCTTCTAAAGCCTTTTAACTTACTTTAGCTAAGAGGCTCAGTTCTGTGCTGCCAAATTAAATTAGAATAAAACTTAATTTATAGGAATTTAATATCATATAATTTTACATGCTATGAAATATTCTTTTTTTGTTTTTTTTTTCCCCTAACCACTAAAAATGTTAAAACTGTTTTTAGCTTGAAAGCTATATAGAAACAGGCAATGGGCCAGATGTGGTTTATAAATTGTAGTTTGCTGACCTTTGGTCTAAATACAGCAGTACCTCAGTTTACGAACTTAATTTGTTTTACCCTCTTGGGGAAAAATGTCTGCATTTCTGTTTCTGTAAAGAAGATGGTCATGGTTGTCATCCAGTGCAGTTTGTGAGTGAGAGCAAAATTCTGCTGAGTGCTTTTGTTTGCAAACAGAAGCATTTGTGAACCAAGATGTTGCTGTAATAGAGTAGTTCATTAAATCATTGCACAGCTATTAAGAGAACCAGATGATAATGTGAATTGTGCAGATAATATGTGAAAAACACAGAGGCCAAAATGGCAAACACACCCTAAAGTATAACACACAAAGGAGCTGTGGCTAGGATGAAAAGAATAAGGGTTTTTAATCAAAATTTCTTTAGGATTTTTATTGTCCACATTTCCTCCTGCTGGGAGTCCAGCTGGGCACTCGGAGGGTGACCACCCTGTCATCTTAACCCCTGCCTCACCTTTCTCCACTCTTGCTCCTTGTTCCCCCTTTCCAGTAACTTCTTCATGCATTTGCAGTTCCTTAACTTACCCACTGCATTTTTAAAAGTGGAAGTGAAAGTCACATAACATAAAACCAGCCATTTTAAGGGTTCAGTGGTATTTAGGGCATTCTTGACGTGGTTCAGCTACCACTTCTATCTAGTTTTAAGGCATTTTCATCACCCAAAACCAGACCCAATGCTTTTTATACTATTACTCCCATTTCTGTCTCCTTCCAGCCCCTGGCAACCACTCATCTACATTCTGAGAATTTCGTGTGGATAACATACGAAACCACTGTGTGGGTTTTGTGCTTGGCTTCTTTCTCTCAGCATGTTCTCAGGTTCGTCTATGTTGAAATGTGCTGGATGTCATTCCTTCTTTATGGAGATACATCAATATATCATAGTTTGTTTATCCAGCCACCTATTTTATTTTAATCCATTCAGCTGTTGATAGCTAAAAACACGTATTGATTATCCTGACGCAGCTTCTGAGGCTTAGCATCCATGAATACCTTAGCTGGTACTAGTTTAGGTAATCCGTGGTGCAGAATTGAGGAAGTTATTGTTATCTCCATTTAAAGAAGGAAAAATGGAGGTTTAGAGAATCAGAGTAACTTTCTCAAACTCTACAGTTATTTAACTGATGGAGTCATTGCTCAAAAAAAAAAAAAAATACTGCTTGAACAAACTTCCTGACGTCCACAACTCTAGGGAAGAGAGGGGTGTCTTGGTTTCAGAGGTGTCAGTCCCTGGTCTACAGGCTCAGGTGCAGAACATCATGGGGGAAGGTACGGCAGAGCACAGCTGCTCAGAGTGTAGTGCTGAGGCGCAGATCACAGAGAAGGAGTGTGGGAGGGGAAAAGAGCCAGGCAGCAGAAACAGTGTCCAAGGTCAAGCTTCCTTGACACATCAGACACACCCAGAAGTGTGCTTTACTAATCTTCTATCTCTGAATCCAGTTGTTCAGACTCCAAATTAACCATCTTGGTGGTGAGTAGGGCCTGGCCACTTGGAAGGTGCGTAACCCCAGGCCGTGGAAACTGCCTGATTGTAGGAAACTGCCTATTGCACTTGCTTGAATAGACCTTGAACTGTGACAGGAATTGCACAGCAGGGCAGAAAGAAGCGGAGGATAGATGGGGGAAGGGCTGGAGGTGGGGCAGGGTTTCCAGGCTCTTGCTTTGCCATCTGTTGGGATCAGTGCACTTCTTACGACCCAAGCACCGAAGTGCTGCAGGCAGGCGGGCTGATTAATTGTTTCCCTAGGGTCTCCCCAGCAGAGGCTAGAAACACGCTCAGTGGGTGCAAAAGAGAGACCAGTCCTTTCAACTAGCAGAGAATTTGTTTCCTGGTCTAACTGCAGCCACATGTGATGGTATTGAAAACATATGTGCTTCTGATAAAAGATCACAGTTAGTAAAGACTAGAAAGGAAGCAGTGGAACAGCATCCTGTTTCCCATCAAACCCCGGCCTTCGCTTTCAGGTGCTTTGTGTAACCAGAGATCTCGGCAGCCCTCAATCAGGAAAGGGCTCAGCTTCCATTAGCACCTTCCACAGATTTCTGTTACCTATCATCCCTGCCAGTCATTTATCCCAGCAGTCCTGAGCCTGGCAGCCGCCCCGTCACACTGAATCAGAACCCACAGGATTGGCCACCAGAAAGAGGAATTTTTAATAACCTCCTCTGGCTGATTCCTATTTAGCTGGCCTTGAACTTCTCTGTGAACAGAGATGAAAAGCTCCAGTCTGGAGTGGCTATGCATGAATAAGCATCTGTACCGAGAGGGAATTTCCCCTGAGTTACAGACCTGTGTGTCGGGAAGGAGATGGGGAATGAACAGAGGTGGCAGGGATTCATGAGACAGGCATTTGTCAGTGCAGAGGGTCACAAGAGGAGCAATAAACACACCGCATTCAGTAAGCCTTTGAAATAATAAACTACCAGTGGACACCAGTCACTGCTAATGGGACCATCATGCATGTCATCGTCCAACCTAGAAACTTACGATATTTACACTAGCTCCGTTTCTCTCTTCTCTTTTAATTCCACAGGATGGCCAGAGCTTGTCCATGGACTGTGCCTCTCACAGCCAGAGGCTTTACCTACAGCATCTCTCCTGGTCAACACAACCTGGATCGGCCTGAAATCAAAGCATTGCTTAGCTGGGCGCCCCAGCAGCTTCTTCACTGGACTTTTGAGCCATGGATTCTGCTTTCTTTCATCTTCCATCACACACTGGTAGTGGTTATCCTTAAAGATATTGTAATACCTGTACTTGTTAAGGAAATCTTGCTTGAGGAAAGTCTGATTTTGTTTCTTACTGAAACTGGATAAAACACAAACTCCTTAGGGTAGTTCACAAGGCTCTCCTCAACTCTGAATTTCTCCTCTAAAATTCTGCATGGCAAATACAAGGCACAGCAATTTCTTTTCACTCCTCCAGGAGGAGATGAAGACCTGCATACATCTCCTTTGTTTCTGGATGGGCTTTGTGACTGCTTGTTGCCAATATAATATGGTGGGAGTGACACTTTGCCAGTTTCTGGTACATTCCTTAATGAGCTTCCATTCCTGTCCTTAGCATTTTACTTTTTAGAGAGCTCTGAGACCGCATAAGAATTTCAGCTCCCCGAGAAGACAGGTGCAGGGCTTCTGTTGATATCTCCTTTCCATTGGTGCCCAAGCCTTTTAAATCCAACCATACTGAGATGTGAGTCACTCAAGTGAAGCCACTATGGGGGCACGGAGTGGACTGCCCACCTGGTGACCATCAGTGAGGGGTACCAGTTGATGTCCTTTGGTGTACAAGATGCCAAGACTTGAGAATTTCCCAAATATGTCCTGCTCAAAAATGCCTGATCCATAAAATCATCAGCTCTAGTGAAATAATTGTTTCAAATTTCTAAATCTTATAGGTAGTTTGTTATGCAGCAATAGATCACTGAAACAACCTTCCATCAGTCTTTTCAAGTAGCCCAGATCTAGGGGCCTGTCCTCAGCTTCCTGAAGACAGTGATCCTTGTATTTTCTGTGACCTTCCTCACTAGAAAACTCCTTCTCCTGTTTCCAGGATGCCTCAGATGTTGGGTCTGCCCTGCATCATCAATGAACCAGAAAATGGATGAAAGAAATCCTTCCTGGTCCATCCTACACTGTCATGGGTTTTGAGCATGACCTTGCCTTAGGGCAGGGTGCACTGAGATTACTTAAGTACTCATCTTCTTTTGTGGTCTGATAATTCATGGAGGGAGGCACTGTTGCAGTCAGCAAGCAGGTCTGGTGGTGAGCACAGTCTGCTGCATGGTAGGCATCATATTTTCCTATCACACCTTATATGTCCTAAGATAAAATCAGCACAAGGATTGTCTGGGAGCTAGACTTGTCCTAGGTTGGCTGGTAGGTACACACCTGTAATCCCAGCACTCAGGAGCCTGAGGCAGGAAGATCGTTGTGAGTTCGAGATCAGTGTGGGCTATAAAGTGAGCTGAACGCCAGCCTGACTTGTATAGTGAGACCCTGTCTCAAAAAAACAAAAAAAAAATTGCTTGTGAGATTACTGAAATTTATTTGTTACATAAGAAAAAGGCATCTGAAATTTTATAGCTCATATATGAAACATACTTGATAGCACTGCTCTTGAATTTCACAATCCCCAAATTTTCATAACATTTTGAATATTGAATGTGAACCTAAAAGGAACTGCTATAAACTGTCAATAAAATAAATATCTAATTTTGCATCTGATTTTGAGTAATAATCTTGCATTCTTTTTCTTAAATGAGCTCCCCATTTGTATAAACTTCAAGCATAAAGCCCAGCTTGTGCCTGAGGAGAGCTGCTCGTTCACCATGTGTGAAGGGTTCAGGGGCCAGGAGTCTGTGGGTGCCTGACTGAGCAGGAGCCGCTTCGTGAGTGGTGAGAGAGGCTTGGGGTGACCAGGGGCACCTGCAGCAGGTCCTAGAAATGCAGGCAGGAGGCTGTGATTTCCCCTGCGATGGGATTCGTGCAGCAGGCAACTAGGCATCTGAAGTATGTGATTTAATGGTTTTCAGAACAGCATTGTTTGCCCACCAACTCTGTCTAGTTCCAAGACATTCTTATCCCCAAAGGAGACTCCTACCACTGCAGTTGTTGCTATCTGCCCTAGTCCTTGGAAACCACGAACCTATGTTTTATAGATTTGCCTGCTCTGGGCATTTTATAAGACTAGAATCATAGAGCACATGACTTTCTGTGCCTGGCTTATTTCTTTAGCCTAATGCTTTTCAGGTTCATGCACAGTGTAGCCTGATTATTACTGCGTTCCTTTTAAATGATATACTGGGCGTGTGTACACACACACACACACACACACACACACACACACGTGAACTGCAGTAGAGCTCAGTTGCAAACCATTTTCCAGTTCAGCTTAGTTTCAAAAACATTAACGGAGTGTCCATCATGTGCCAGGCACTGCAGCAGGGTTACTGGACAGGAGGAGTGATTCTCAGGCTGTCACGTCCACACCGAGGAGCCTGGCCAGATTCCACAGACTGGAATACCATGAGCTCAGCCTCACAAAGCCTCTCCTGACCTGTATGTGATTTTACTCTGGAAGGATTTGTCATCCTTTTACCAATTATTGTAGGAGAAGGTGGAGATGGGCATTGGTGGGGACCAGTGAGATTTACATGGGGATAACTACTCAGGTTTAAATTGACTTAGGAAAAATGACAATGGCAATAAGAATTCCACAGAGCCACTGGGTTTCCCTTGGATGCCTTGCTGGGAGAGGTGGAGAAGAAGCTCAGATGGTAATCACACACCCAGACATCGACCTGTTGTCCTAACCCTGTGTTAGTCTTTGTGGTCTTGAAAGTGAGCTTAGGACTCATTAACACAGTGAGTGGATTCCTCGATGCACTGTGTGTTAAGCAGGGGCAGCTGTCTATTGATAGATTTGCTTTTGAATTTTCCTTTTCTTCAATGTCACCCGGGGGAAAACTTAAAGGCTGGTGGGTCAAAGGGAATCAGTGTTTAATGAGAGAAATGGCCTCTGGGTTCTTCCTGTACCCCCTTTGTAACAGCGCTTGCCCTCTGCAGAGAGAGGACCAAGCAGTTGAGCTGTGGGCCTCTGTGTGCGGTGCCCTTGCTGCTGCTGGTCCTGGGCTTTGCACAACCCCTGCTTTCTTCAGTTGATCCTTACAGCTATTCTAAGGGACTGTTAGCAGTTCCAACAGAGAGCAGCACACTGAGGAAAGGGAGGAGGAGTGAGTTTCTGAGAAGTCACATTTGTTTGGTGGCAGCCGGGAATGGAAGCCCAAGGCTGCTTCCCTAAAAGGCAGCTGAACCAGAAGGCTGCTGCCTGGAACCACGCTAAGGGTTAAAAGAAAGATTCTTTCCGTTTTGGAATTTCTCAGACCCAAAGTTGTGCTCACACTCTGTATGTGAAGAGATTTTTCGTTTTTTTCTTTTAAATTTTAGAGGTGTCTCCCCATCCAAGAAACAATAAAGTTTGGATTTAAACGTCGATTAATATGCTGAGACAAGGAACCGTAACCTACAGCTGGAGAGCAGGGACACGTGCCAGGAGAGGCATTCATCTGGGAAGTAATTGCATATTTGACTTGGCTTGGGCTTTCTGGAATGAGATCTTTGGAAGAGGGCTTTTTAATTTTACATCACTTTCAAACGGTGCTGTAGATGCCTGAGCCATAGCGGGGGCGTTATCTCAATAGCACATGGAGAGTCGATGAGCTATAAATTGTCCCTCTCAGCACCCTGCGAAGGGTTTTCCTTTCTCAGAGCTTTGGATGGGGGCTCCCCTCCCTGGAGGGGCCACTCAGAACGCATGCGCCGACAGCAGGCCTGGCAAGGCTCTGCAAGAGCCTGAGCCAGAACCTGTCGATCCAGGGGGAAAACGTCTTACACTTTGGCTCGCCCTCTGCACTGCCTTCTGTCTTGCAGCAGGAAAATTGTGTGGAGGGAATATTTGCTGAGCCCCTCACTCCCCACAGGCAGCATCGTGTGTGGATCTATGCAGATACGAGGGGCATTTGGCTCCTATTATTTATCTATTTTTTAAATTTTAAAACAAAAGAACAAAAACAATGATACAGAATTTCAAAACAACATAATAAGAGATTAATAATGGTTAATATGTTGCATATTGTTATCTTCAAAATAGTTGCTCAGATTACACAATGTAGGATGAAAAACTGATCAAACAATGGAAGCACACACCATTCTTGATAAACAGATTAGTAGTATAATTATCTATTATATATGTGTGTATATATATATAATCTTTTTTCTTTCTTTTCTTGTGCACACACGCTGAACCTTACGGTTTCCCAAAGGCCCGGGGCCAGCGATGCATGATCTTGCGTGACTGTCAAAGCTGGCTCCCCGCTGCTCTGCTCCGAGTTTCCCTTTCGTCTGAATACTACTGGCCAGCCTGTTTTTGGGTGTCCGACATCCTAGCACCTGCTTTCTCATGTGTTCTTCCATTGTACCAAAATATACTCTAACAGAACATTCTTCATTCAAATGAAACCCAGTGAAAACAGAGTGTTATCAGATAGATTCTGGAACTCGGACCCTGCTTAATCATTTGGTTTTGATTTAGTACAACTTGCATGTCATACTCAGGACTGTCTGAAGATCAAGTGAGTCATTCTTTCAATTGTCTTACCGCAGGACCTTTGTGCACGTTGTTCCTTTGTCTAGAACGGCTTTTCTACCCTCCTTTGCTTTGGCCAGTTAACGCTGCTTAGCCTGGGGACCCCTCGACAGAAGAACTGGATTTTGCACCTTAAGATTAGATAGTTGAGAGCTCAATGAACTATCCTGTGCCCACTCAAGATCTATTTTCCTGTTAAGTTTCTTCACTAACTTGTGAGCTCTTCAAGAGTTCAGATCACATCTCTTACACCCAGAAGAGTTACCCTGTTGGGAGCCGCGGCCGACACCGGTCGCCTTACTTGGCGGACGTAGGGCCTGTGGGTGGGAGCGGAGCCTGAGCTAGATTGCCCCTCCCATCGAGTGAGTCAAGTTGGCGCCTGCTTCCTGCCCCCTGATTGCGCTGGCGACTTAAACAACCCGCTCTGTAAGATAGTCTGCCTAGCAACAACTGATGTTAGCCAATCAGCCCGCATCGCGCGCTTTGAACTGATTGGCCACTGTTACCCTATAAAAGTAAATGCCTCTCCCGCCACAAGAGAGAAGCACAGAGAGGAAGCACAGAGAGAGATAGAGAAAGTCCACCGGCGAGAAAGGGCTGGTGGCAGAGAGGAGGCCTCGCGGGGCCCACGCGGAGACAAATAAAGGCAAGGTTGCACACCGCCAGACTTTGTCGTGTGTCTTTCCTGCCGGCCGGGAGCGACCCCGACATTACCCACTAAATATTTTTGAATGAACAAAAAATGATGCGTAAGTGACCACTATCTTTGTCTCTTTCACAGATCTCTATTTCAATAGGATGAACTCTGAGATGATTTTGAGATCAGTGAAGGAAATTCAACTCTTGTTTATGTGTCTAAGTTCTTTGGAGAGACACTGACTTCAGGGATGATCAAAAGACCATTCAGTGCCACACTGGTACCAGAATATGCTGTGCTTTAAGGATCTGGTTTGATAAAGCTGACCTCCCCAAGAAATAGCGTAAAATTTGTGTGGGAAGTAAATAAGTGTCCGAGGCTGTCTACAATGCAGACAGACCCTCCTGTTGTATTTGCTGCTAGCCACTGGGCACTGGACACCAGGACTTGGCGACAGCGCCTGTAGGAAGACCAACTGTCTCTGCTATTTTCAGTGTCACTGTTGCTGTGGGACTCAATTTCTTCATGGTCTTCCCTGATTTTCAAGTCTCACAGCAGTGTGTTGATTTGGGAAAACCTGAACTAATAGAAAACTCAAATTGCAGATGAGTTTGGGGACTGAAACTTTCATCTTTCTAGCCTAAGGCATGGGAGGGTTTGGAGGACCCAGTGAACTGGTCTGTAATGCCTGTTGTAATAAAAGAGAAAAATTCAACTAGGGATGATAAGGGTGGTGTAAATGTAGGGCTAACATCATACAAAACAGTTGATATTATTTCATGTTACTCTTTTTGGTTAGAGAGAAAACCCAATAATATTTGTGTGTGCGCGGCTGCCCATGCTTAGGCTACAAAGCTAGGCTAGATCACAAGGCTGGCCTGGGTTTCAGATTAACGGAAACAAAGAGCAAACCGGAACCCTGACTGCAGCTGGGTTTCTTTACCATCATTTTACGACAGGCAACAGACTGGTGGTTCCAATGTCCCTGCGATCCAAATGCATGGTGGCGTGGGAGGATGGGCTTCGTGTTAGTTCCCAGCAGAGTGAGAGGCCCAGCTGTCCCAGGATCCCACAGCTTTCCCCTGGCTTCATGCTTTAAAGATGCAAAGGAAATGAGAAAATGCAACTGTGCCCAGTGCTTCAGATTTATGATTTGCTGGCATAGCAGGTCCGTAACTAGTAGGGTCTACTCTTTCTGCTTGCTCTTGCTTCGCAGTCAGGCCTCTTCGAGTGCTCAGTATACCAGGTCTGGGTCTGCTTTTCACTGCAGACCCACTGTCCTCAAGGGTGTGGAGGCAGGACTCCCCAGTGGATGTTACACATGAGCTTGTCAGACTACTCAGCGTAAGGACTGTGTAATTATAGAGCTTTCATGTCTTGCTTTCCCAGAGGAAACACTTTTAAGTAATTAGTGACAGAACATTTTAACCCAATGAAAACCTA